ATCAGTTACAGTAGTTTGGTGTAAACTACTATTAATAGCAATGTGTAATTGAAGTTTGATGATGCAATCTTTATTACCAAAATTTCTAATCATGAACTTCTCTCTAGCTCTCTCATTACCATCTTCATTCTTCCCTTTCTCTCTGCAAATTACTTCTTGAGTGGAACTCTGTGAGTGTGAGTGTGAATCTTTCTTCAATAATAAGGCACGAAAGCTCCAATAGTGGCATCAAGAGCATTGGTTCGTGGTTTTGGGAAGTGAAGCATCATGATTTTGCGGTTTCTTGGAGGTTCTCTTAGGAGAAGACGAATCTTGAAGAAAAATGCCAAACTCTAATGGAGGTTTTCCAGCCAACATGCCAATTCTTGATGGGAAGGATCTTGATAGCTATGAGAAATGGTGTGTCAGGATGAATGCAATTTTCGAATTTCAAGAAGTCACAGAAATTGTGAAGATTGGCTATGAAGGGGTTAAGGAAGGTTCCAGTGATGCAGCAAAAATGGCATTTCGAGAACTCGAGAAGAAGGACTGTAGAGCATTATTTCTAATTCACCAATGTGTGGATTTTGTGAATTTTGATAAAATTATTGGTGCAAAAACTGCAAAGCAAGCCTGGGATAGATTGGAAAAGAGCTATGCTGGTGGAGGCAAGGTAAAGAAGGTGAGGTTGCAAACTTTGAAGAGATAGTTTGAATTGTTGAAAATGGAGGAACAGGAGTCAGTTCCAGAATTTTTTGCTAGGCTACAATCTTTATCAAATCAGATAAGGAGCTGTGGAGCAACTCTAAATGATCAAGATCTTGTGGAGAAGGCACTTCAAACATTGCATCCAAGATTTGATTATGTGGTGGTGGCCATTAAAGAGTCTAAGGACCTTGAAAAGATAAAGATTGAGAAGCTTCCTGGTATTTTGATAATGATATCTTTTTGAAGTGCATATTCCTGAGGGGGTAGATTGGGGCATAGACATAAGGATCTTTATGACACCATCAAAATTCAATTCATTTTGAACTAGGCTTTGCTTAACTTCTTTAAGGGTTATTACTTCCTTAGTAACTCAAGACATGTACGCTTTACTTGCTTATGAATTTATAATAGAAGACTTTATACTCAAGTTGCATTATATACTCATTATTAATACATCACATGATTTATTATGATAGGGACATTTGCTCATACAACTATATTTTTCTAATTAGAGATTATAATCTAGAATAAAATGAGAATAATGTCATAGCAAGAATATTAGACCATAAAGAAACAATTTGGGTTAGTCTTTTTTTTAGGATTCCATACTCTCAAACTTTATGACCATAATGATGTTACGCATGTTTTTGGCACTCCAATAAAATAAATTTTGATCAAACCCATATTTGCTTAATGGATACAATATATTTATGATAAAACTTCCTATGAGTTCAATGTACTTTTACCTTCAACAAACATACAAGTACATTCAATGTAATTCTATATTATTAACAATAAGGCCTATGGACATTTTGGTTGATAATGCTATTATTCTTGTTTTACATACAAGTGCATTGATCTTAATAAAAGGTGCTTTAGGTACACATTGTTCCAAGTTCATGCGCGATAAGAAAAAAAATTTCTTGCAATAGTCTAATATGATGTAGTACTTGTAATATTTTCGTTTGTGATATTTTTATTTTACAATTTTTTTATATATTTGATATCGTTGGATGAATTACTTCTTATTGGTATTAAAAACACATTACACTATAGCAAGATAATGTTCCACAATTTAATGAATCTTCTACCTATTTGATGGGATGGTTAAGAGATTATTTATAGTTAAATTCTTCACAACTTATCAACATATATAACCTTATTATATAAACAATATATATATATATATATATATAATAAATATGTTTCTTATTAATATTAATAGTCTTTAAAATGAAAATATTAATCTTATAAAATATATTAATAAGATGTTTAAATTATATTCAAATATATAAATCAAATATGAATAGCATATTCAAATTATTTTATTTTATTCTTATTTTAGTTTAATATTTTTTTCTTAGTTTTAATATATACCATCATATAAGCATAATATATAAGATTTTTCCAATAAAAAAAGTTTGACCACTCCTTATAATATAATGTTTTAGTTTTCTTTATTTATAGGAGTTTATATATTTCATTTATTTTGTAATATGCCTCAATCCAAAAAAATTTCAAGGTAGGGGTCATCTCATTTTCCAATTTAAAATAAGTAATTTCAAGATATGAGAGAATTCATAATATTCACTACAAATACTAATCTAATTCATAATGATGTCCTAGAGAATACAATAATTTTTGTTAGTAACATAACCATTAAGAAAAGCAAATGATCAGATACACTAATCAATAAAACGAATAAAATAGAAATTAATGTAAAAACAACAAATTAGAAAGCAATAGTCCTAATTCTTCAATTTACCAAGAAAAGAACTATACCATTTGATCCCTTTTATCTACAAAGAATAAGAAGTTAAAAAACACATTATAGAAGATTTTATCATAAATTCATTGATTTTTTTAATAATTTATTACTACCCTTTTTAAAGCGATCTGACCAACATATTCATACTAAATATCTTTATCATAGATAAATAATAAAAATTTAAATTATATATTTAATTCTATAATTGACACCCGTCTACAAAAATAGTCTTTACTTTAAAAAATTATGTTTTAATCTCTATATGAGCAGTTTGTTACATTTTGACATCATTATAATACGAGAGACTAAAACATAACAACATACTTATATAAGGCAAAAAAAAACATAAGTTTTTTTAAGTGTAGGACTCATTCATAAATAAGTGCTAACTATAGGAATCAAATATATATTTTAAATAACAATAAAAAAATATTTTTGGTGAATTTGTTTAGAAAAAATTAAAAATGAGCCACCAAATAAAAGAATCATAAATATTAAAAATAATGAAAATTCATATATTTAAGTCAGATCATTTACAGTTTAAGATCATATATATTATTGCATGTGGTTGTAAGAGAATTAGAGAGGATGCACTTGAGCCAAGAAAGTTAATAATTAAGTAGAAAAGAGGAGGAACAAAGAGGGGGAAATTCACACAAAGAAAGAATATAAAAATTAAATTTTTAAAATTAATATTTTTTTATGAGAAAAGGCTTATTTGAAACATTTGTAAATTTTAGATGATCAAAATAAAGAAAAAACAAGTTAGAGGACCAAACGAAAACAAAATTAAGAATTAAAAAACTAATATAATAATTTAACCAAAAATTAATTAGTAAACCAATGTAAATTTTGTGAATAGGATGAAGTGAAACCTTACTATTAAATCTACTAAAGGCACTCTTTTGTATAACCTAAATTAGACTCTACATCAACCAAATTTATCTTTCGCAAGGTTAAATATGACATATTTTGGATGATTAAGATGCATATAAATATAAATAAACACTGTACAAGTAGAGCTAAATAAATGGACTTCACTCAGTAAGTTAGCTTGCAAAGCATCCAATTTGTATAGGCCAACTTAAAAAATTATGGCTTATTTAGAAGTAAAATTTTGTGAGAATTCACATAACTCATGGTTAAATATATAATTGAGAACACAACTTAATTAAATTTTTATTTAGTAAATTTGACTATAAGACTTTTTGAAATAAAATAAAAATAACTTATTCTGACAAGTTATGTTAAAATAAGTTTTAAAAAAATTATGAAAGTTGTAGGTCTATTTGAAAGAACTTATAAATAATTTATGAAAAATAACTTATGACACTTATAAGTTATTTTTGGTTTATTATAATAAGTTTTTTTTAGTAAAGATGTGATAAGGACTTTAGTTTAAGGGTTATTTCTACTCAGCCCTTAGTCAGCCTATTTAGTCTTAATTTAATGTTTGTTAAAAAAAATAGTTTAATCCTAAATTAATGTCAGATCAAAATAAAATAGTTGAAACTCTAATCCTAAGAAAGCACAAATCATAGATATTATTTAAGTCTACGTAGACTCTTGTCGTTAAAGTTTCTTTAACCTTTAGCATTTTTGAGTGTGCAACTTCACGAACTACCAATGCTGGAATTGGAACGGTTCTCTCTACGGCTCAATTCTGATGGTAATGCAGAACGACTGTCAAACTCTGATCCATTAAATGGCACTCTGCAGCTCTAATGAGAAATAATAAAAGATAATTTTTAATAATTATAAAATTACTTATTTGTTATTAGCCTTTAATTACTTTACTAATCGTTTTAGCAACCTCGCATCTTTCACTTCTTTATATGCTTCATCTTTTTGCTCCTTGCTGCTACCACTGCACCCACTGCTACCATTTCAATTGGCATTTTTTCGGTTGAATTTTAGATAATTTTATTATATTTAATTAAAATGAAAATTTTATTTTGATCAAATATTTATATTTAACGTTATGATAATTAATAATGTAAAATTTCAATTTTAATTATAGAATAGCATCATCAAAAGCACCTAAAGAACTAGATTTGAATTGTCTTATTTATAATTGTAATATATATATATATATATATATATAATATATAATTATTTAGCAAATTTTTATATATCATTTATTTTTTTAAATTACTCAATTAGTATATTTTATTTATTATACTTAAAAATTTATATAAATAAAAAAGTATTTGTAAAACTATAATAATTAATATTGTCATGAAATTTTATATGACTATAAATAAAATATATTTTGACTTATAAAACCTTAATCATAATTCAGAGGGCCTGTAAGCTTTTACAGGCCCATATGACTTTTAATTTAATAGAATTTTTTGGCGAATAATGGCTTTTTGATCTTGGTCTACATGGACCAGAGATAGAGCTGGACTAAATGAACTTTATAATAGCTTTACTTTTTGGTGTAACCAAGTGAAATATAAATAGGATCAATCATTTTTTTCTAACTCTTGGCCAAGTTCAGGAAAGGAACACAAGAAAAATTTAGTTAGAATGTGAACTGCGGAGACAATGGTTTGGGTGCATCATTGGATTCAAAACAAACATAACTTTCTATCTGATACAAAAATATTTAACACTCGTAAAATCCATAGCTGGTGCTGGTGATATGACTAAATTCTGTAATACACAAGACTCTGACAAAGATCAGAGACTGAGACTTCAAAACTTCAATATATAAACTTCCCTAACAAAAACTCGAAGTAATCATTTGGTAGGGAAAAAAAACTGTTCAAATTTTTTGTTCCTACAATTCATTAAACCATCTGGCCAAGCATAAGGCCAAGTTATTGCTTCCTTCCTCGTCCTTTCTTGGTTGGGTTTACATCCATTTGCTCTTTTCCTGTGACTTCTGATATATCAACTGCAGAATTATAAGCAGTGGAGAATGTGAAAAGAAATTTCAACACCAAATATGAAATAATGTCCAAAATATAATCAATGTAAACCACAAACCAAAATAATAATGTGCAACCCACAGAAACCAGCACATTTAACATTCAATCTATTTAAACCACCATCCAATGTACAGTGTTGTATCTCATTCATGCCCGTGATTCCAACTAATGTCAAAATCACATGGAAACAACCTTATGCATTGTTTGGTTCAAAGTCAAATGAATTTATTAAATTAAGAATAATTTAGTCTATTTAGTTTAAATGTTTCTCTGCCCTCCAAATCCTGGACCAAAAATTAAAGAGAGGAGAGATTTTAGCCCCCTCCTCTCCTTCAAAATTTTGAACCCAACACAATTTATTAAAAATCCTTCTCCTCTCCTTCCCTTCTTTCCATTTCCCTACAACCAAACAATGCACAAAAGAATATGTGCCGACAGTTTCACAAACGTGAATGATAAGAATACTTCTGAGCTAAAGCATCACAGGTAGCAGGAGCATAGGGTAAGACGTACCATCAGGACCACGAGCCATCAAAGCAAAGAATATATTATTCAGTTTTTCCATCTTCTTAGCCTCTTGTGCTTGATCTGTCTTATACTTTAGACACTGGTAAAAAGTTCAAGAATTCACTGTTAGGACATGAGAATATATATGCGACTAATAATAGGTAGTAGAGAACAAAACACCAACCAAAAAATGAAGCTTACTGTGAGGAATATAATTATCACATATAATTAAATTGAAAATGATCATATAAGCAACAGAGATTATATTCTGCCAATTGAAATGACTGAAATCTCACAGATACTAGGAGTCATATTGTGGATTAATTTGATTTTCCCCACCAAAAATCAGTGAGTTTTGATATTTTTATCTGTATCTTTTTCTTAGCAATGTCCATCTGATAGAATTATCAATTATCTTATTAACAAGCAAAGTTATCCACCACCTAAAAAGTATGGGCCTGTTTGTACAAGACTCGGTATCAATTTCTGTCATTACCGATTGATAAGCTTTGGTGTTCATGCAAAATGTATCTCCATCATCGGATTTAATTTGAAAATTGATTTCTAACTACTGAAACATAAAAACAAATAAGCACTTAAGGGATATGACAGCAGATAACTTCCTGTTTCCTATCCTTTTTCAATATGAAAATGGTTATAAAGACATTATAATACACAAATGTGCCTCTGAATTTCTAGCCTAATAATTCAGGTGAAGAGAATGATACGTTGAAGGAATTTAGAAACTGTTTGGTTTTGGGAAATGTTCTGTTTTAGCATCTTGTTTTCACTTTGTTTCTTATTTCAAATATTTGTACAGAAGGTGAAAAAGAAAAGAGAGAAAACAGCAGAACACTTTCTAAAACCAAACAGGCCTATGAATCACAACATTAATAGCATACCCTATGAACATGTTTCCAGGATTAGAAGCTTTCGTCATTCCAGTCACACACAACCCTGTAAACAGATTGCTATATTATATGCATACTGATAAACATCTTCCTAAAGTTTAACTGACCAAAGTTAATTCATTCATAATAGCATACCCTATTTCACCAGCAAATATAAACCCAAGTACAATAATTTAAACCCAAAATAAAGAAATAATTCACTAAGTAAAAGAAGAAAATATACTTTGAATTAGAAAAAGAGAAATCTATGCAACAAAATCATGTAATAATTATTCATGGGCCTAAAGAATGCAAGAGCAATGGAAGCAGAAAAATAGGGTTACTTTTCACAAAGATGTTGTGTAAGTAGTACTATAGAGTCTAATTTTATTTATTTTTGTATTTCAGACACTTTGTTTCATTGAAGGCTAGGATTTAAGTAAGGGTTTACAGCCTACACAAGGTGTTTTTATTGATTATTGTTAAGATGTCTCACATTGGCTAAGACAAGAGTCAGAATACTCCTTATAAGGGTTAAAGTGGTCCTCCTCCTATGAGTTAGCTATTTGAAGTGATTTAGGCTCAAGTTTCTTAACATGATATTAGAACCTATCCAATTTGAACATTAAGTTATCCACAGATGTCCAGCCCTGTTGGACCACCTGTGCAGATGTTCAGTCCTACAAATTTCACGTACCAGACTTCTAGTCTTGGGCATAAAGGGTATGTGTTAAGATGTCTTTATTGGCTATGACTAGAGTTAAAATACTCTTTATAAGGGTCAAAGTAGTCCTCTGTAAAGAACTGGTTCAATTTTGTAAAGCAGAAGTAGAAATACTTAATGTACTTTTATTGAATGTTCTCTGTCAAGTGAAATATCCCAATCTGAGAAAGAATCAAGAATACAAGAATATCCAGGACTTTGAGAGCCTGGTCTCTCCCCAACCGACCAAATATTAATCCACCGCTAAAAATTCCCTTTTCCCCCCTAACCCTATTTATTCCCTGTTCTTTACATTTTTCTCAGCTAATTGGGCCTCTTTTCTTCTATTGGGCCTTCTTACATAGACTTTACTAATTGGGGGTTTGGGCCTATTACTAACAACACTCCCCTCCCAAAGTTTCACCTTGTCCGCAAGGTGGAATTCTGGAAACTGTTCTTGTATAACTTCAAAGGACTCTCAAGTTGCTTCAAAGTCAGGCAGGTCCTGCCACTTGATGAGGACTTCAGCCCCTCCTAAAGACCCGTTGCGGATTGCTAGGACTTCGCTTAGTTCAACTTGCAACTCTAACTCCTCAGATAGCATTGGCGGCAGTGGTTGGGGTGTAGTAGTGGAGCCAATAACCTTCTTTAGTAAAGATATATGAAAAACTGGGTGTATTCTGCTGTGATCAGGTAATGCCAATTGATAAGCAACCTGTCCTATTTTCTTGACAATTTGGTAAGGGCCATAAAATCTAGGTCGTAACTTCTCATTCATCTTCTTTGTAAGAGATTTCAGTCTATAAGGTTGTAACCTTAAGTAAACCCAATCGCCGACTTCCAAATGGACCTCTCTCCGGTGGCGGTCAGCAAATTTTTTCATCTGATCTTGGGCCTTCAACAGATTCATTTTTAAATCATGTAAAATGATATCTCTTTCACATGTTAACTGGTTCACTTCTTCTACCACGGAGGGAATTGTTTTTCCTTTTAAAAGAAGAGGTGGATCACACCCATATAGGGCCTTAAATGGTGTAAGCTTAGTGGAGCTGTTATAATTGGTGTTGAACCAAAATTCAGCCCAACTTAACCACTTTGGCCATTGCTTTGGTCTGCTACCCGTTACACATCGTAAATAAGTTTCGAGACACTTATTAACAATCTCTGTTTGTCCATCGGATTGGGGGTAGTAAGCAGAACTGAATTTAAGTTTGGTACCAGCCAATCGGAACAATTCAGTCCAAAAATTACTCAGGAAGATCTTATCCCGATCTGAGACAATGGTGACCGGAAATCCATGTAATCGGACTATTTCCTTAAGAAAAATTTCTGCAATATCACGTGCTGTAAAAAGATGGGCCAGTGGCTGGAAATGAGCATATTTGGTGAGTCTGTCAACCACCACCATAATACTGTCTTTACCCTCAGCTTTTGGAAGACCTTCCACAAAATCCATTGAAATGTCTGACCAAACCTGTGTGGGAATAGGTAAAGGTTGCAGGAGACCTGCAGGTGTTAAAGTTTGGTATTTGTTTTGTTGACAAGATGCTAGATACTGCTGAATGTCCTTCCGCATTCCTTCCCAAAATACAAAGGCTGCTATCCTTTTGTATGTTCTGAAGAAACCTGAGTGTCCCCCCATTGGTGAGTTGTGAAATTCAGACAATAGTACAAGGATTCGTGAAGATCTTTTGGGCAGAACAAGCTTTCCCTGATACATCAGTTTACCATTTTGTAAGGAAAATCGTGGGTGTGCATTTGGATCTTGGAGGAGGCCTTGGATAATTGTTGTCAGCTTAGGATCAGCTTGCACCTCTTCAGCCCAGTCTTCTAAATCCTGAAACGTAAGCTTAGAAATGGCAGCATAGGTCATTTTTCTAGACAGTGCATCTGCAGCCCCATTTTCACAGCCAGGTTTGTACTTAATCTCAAAGTCGAATCCAATCAGTTTAGAGGTCCAGCGAAGCTGTTCCTCACCAAATAATCGCTGATCATTCAGAAATCATAAACTTCTTTGGTCTGTATGAATGATGAAATGTCTTCCCATCAAATAGTGACGCCACTTTTGTACTGCTAAGACGATTGCCATTAATTCTCTCTCATAAACTGACTTCAATTGGGCCCTGTCAGATAACGTTTGACTGAGAAAAGCTATTGGTCGGCCTTCTTGTAATAACACTGCTCCCAATCCTCTACTAGAGGCATCTGTCTCCACAATAAAAGTTTTTGAAAAATCTGAAACAGTGAGAACTGGTAATGCAGCCATTGCACCCTTTAAAACATCAAAAGCTTCTTGAGCCTCCTTACTCCACTAAAAACTGTCCTTCTTAAGGAGCTGTGTTAGAGGTCTGGCAATGCTCCCATAATTCTTAACAAACCTGTGATAATAGCCTGTAAGGCCCAAAAATCCTTGTAGCGCCTTCACATCTTTAGGGGTAGGCCATGTCATCATAACTTGTAGTTTTCTTTGGTCTGCTGCCACCCCTTGTTTGGAGATGATGTGACCCAAATATTCTATCTGCTTTTGGCCAAAAGTACATTTTTTTCTATTGGCAAATAATTGATGTTCCTTCAAAAGTTGCAGTACTAGCTGAAGATGTCTTGTATGTTCCTCCTCTCCTTTACTATAGATTAAGATGTCATAAAAAAAAACAAGGACAAACTTCCACAAATAAGGGCGTAATACCTCATTCATTAAAGATTGAAAGGTTGAAGGAGCATTAGTTAACCCAAAGGGCATTACCGTAAACTCATAATGCCCTTCATGTGTCCTGAAAGCAGTTTTAGGAATATTTTTTTCCTGCATCTAAATTTGGTGGTAACCTGATTTGAGGTCCAGTTTTGAAAAAATAGCTGCTCCCCCCAATTCATCCAACAATTCATCAATAATGGGAATCGGAAATTTGTCTGGAATTGTAATCTTGTTGGGGGCCCTATAATCCATGCAAAATCGCCACCCCTCATCTCTTTTTTTAACAAGAATGACTGGACTAGAATAAGGACTTACACTTGGCCTGATGATACCAGAGACTAACATATCACTCACAAGTTTCTCTATTTCTGTTTTCTGATAATGGGGTACCTGTATGGCCGTAAATTGGGTATGTCCGATCCTTCTTTCAACCTAATGGCATGGTCTTGTCTCCTTGTGGGTGGTAGGCCTTCTAGTTCTCTGAATACTTCCTCAAAATCCTCCAAAATTTTATCAAGTTCCTGAGGAATAGTGCTCTCTACATCATTTTCATTAGTTAATTCTTCACCTTCGATGAGTTTGCATTCAAGGAAAAACCCTTGTGCCTCATGTTGCAAAGCCTTGACCAACTCCTTGAAAGACACAGCAGCTCTGGAAAGTCCTGATTCACCTTTCAACACCTTTATTCCCCCTTTCACAGGCACCTTCAACGAGAGTTCCCTGAAATTAACTCTGATTTCTCCCAAACCAGCCAGTCATTCCATGCCTAGCACCACATCCACCCCTCCTAGGTCAAATATGAAGAAATCTTGTTGAATTCTTAGTCCTTGAATTTGATGTGCTACCTGAGAACAAACCCCTTTACACTTAATTCTCTGACCATCCCCCACTCCCACAGTGTATGTTGCTGTCTCAGTAACAAGTAATTGTTTATCATGAACAAACGTGGATGATATGAAATTATGGGACGCTCCACAATCCACCAATACAGCCACCTTTGCACCTTCAATCTCACCCCACATTTTGATGGAATTTTTTTGAAGTTAGTCCAGTAATACTACACATTGACAGCTGTAATTCTTTAAGATCTGCTCCATCCTCTTCTTCACCCCCTCCTTCTTCCCCTTCACTTAAATCGTTGCTTAGGATTAGCACCTGGAGTTGCTTATTTCTGCAAATATGCCCAGGACCAAATTTCTCATTACACCGAAAACATAATCCCTTTCTAGTTTTCTCTTGAAACTCAGCATCTGTCAGCTTCTTGAACCCCCTCCCTCTATAAGAAATGGTTGGTTTATTGCTGTTAGACTCAACAGAGCTAATTCCTGTGCTGTTCCCAAGATTGTGGTTCTTGGTTCCCGTTTCCCATGTCACCGTTCTTGATGAAGGATAGCTTTTGTATGAACCACCTACCTTATTATTTCCGGGAACCCCTTGGCTCAGCAACAAATTTTTCTCATCAATTCGTTGGGCAAAATCCATCAATTCTGGTAGAGTTGATAATCGGTGCAACTTCAACTCTGCCCTGACTATGTCTTTCAGTCCGTTCAAAAATATCCCTTTCAAATACTCAGCCTCGATACCTTTAAGGGGTTCTGCATACAACTCAAATTGCTCATGATACTTTTCCACCGTTGTCTCTTGTTTGAGACTCAATAACTTTTCATACGGGTTTTGTGCCATTGAGGGTTGAAATCTCCCTATTAAAGCGGTGCGGAAATCTTCCCAAGTAGGGTTCTTGGAACGAAATTCCCATCATTGGAACCAAGTTAATGCCTTGCCCTCCATTGCTACCATTGCCGCTTGCAACTTTTCTTCCTCGGAGATACCCCTTAAGGTAAAGTATCTCTCTACTCGACTGACTCACCCGTAAGTGTCGTCTCCGGAAAATAAGGGAATCTCCAATTTCCTCCATTGATCTCCCCCGGACTGCCGTCTCGACCCACTGCAATTGCTTGAGTTCCCATTGCTCTCATGGTCGCTGTCCTCAGATTCCACTGCTGACTTCGCGTCTTCCTGGTTCTTTCAATTGACAATGAACATCAAGTCGTCGAACCGTTTCTGGGTTTCCTGCCTGTCCTCCTCGAGCTTCTTCATCAGGTTTTCAAACCCTCGCTCCATACTATCTAACCGGGCTTCCATTCGCGTATACACCATGAATATTCTCCCAGGTTTGAGAGCTTTGATACCAGTTGTAAGGAACTGGTTCAATTTTGTAAAGTAGAAGTAGAAATACTGAATGTACTTTTATTGAATGTTCTCTGTCAAGAGAAATATCCCAATCTGAGACAAAGAAGCAAGAATACAAGAATATCCAGGACTTTGAGAGCCTGGTCTCTCCCCAACTGACCAAATATTAATCCACAGCTAAAAATTCTCTTTTTCCCCCTACCCTATTTATTCCCTGTTCTTTACATTCTTCTCAGCTAATTGGGCCTCTTTTCTTCTATTGGGCCTTCTTACATAGACTTTACTAATTGGGGGTTTGGGCCTATTACTAACATCCTTCTATGAAATAGCTTTTAGGAGTGAGTGAGGCCTAAATTTCTAAACAGCTGCAATATAGTTCAAATGACTCTTAATTGTTAAACCAAAGAGGGTTCTCTTTGGCAGTGTTTTAAATGTCTATGACCATTCTTCTTTTGTGTATTTCTCTTACGTGTTACAGATATTTAACCTCCCATTCTATATCAAATATATTTAAGCAAATGTAAAATTGTGGGTTTCGAAAATTAAGACAAAAGCTTCCCCATTTTACTTCTAAATTACTGGGTGCAATCATGTAAAGTATGCTGTAGACCTCTAGTTAAAAGATAATCTAGTAGGTTCATCACGTGTCTCTGGCCAAACCAGCATTCCAAGGAAGAGCCCTTGCTGATACCTCTTTCATTTAGGTCCCTCTAATAAAGAACATGGCAACATGCCCAACTACACAACAATAATGTGGTTTCCATGGTGTAATGACTCTCATCACAATCTCGTCAATATCTACACAATTATTAGGCAGAGGCCTAGGAAATGGTTATATATCTCCAACATGGCCCTCATGCAAGGGGCCTATTGGGCACAAACTGTGGACAATGCAGAAGCCCATTTCACCTTGTACTAAAATTCAACATAATTATGAAAGGCATATGGGATTGAACTCCAAACCACTTGGTCATAAAGGTTTCAGTAACATGTCAAGAAACAATTCTCTTAAAAGCTTAAGTTTTTAGATGGAAACCTATAAACAGGTTTATATCATTCTAAAATTATTATACAGGTTAAATATATAAAGCCAAAGGTGAAAGGAACATCCCACAAAAGAAGAACTTATTCGTCAGCTAGGCCATTGATCAGGCTTAAACCTCCCAAATTAAGCAGAAAAGATATCAGGTTCTGTTCATGATACAGATCCCCACTCGAACAATAAACTCTTTCATTTATAACTGAAATAATTGTATAGGTTCAACAGAATGAGCTTTATAGTCATATAGGAAGAACAATTCCTCCATAAAAGAAAGAATCCAAATCCTAACCAAACAAGTAGTAAAGTAGGATAGTAATATCTTTTGAAAACAAAAGATAAAATATATATATTGCAAACTTGAAATCCCTAAATTACAAACCACAATTTCAGATCACATCATCATCAATATATATATTTATATGCTGTAGAATGAATAATATAAATATTTTCACATTGTCTGTCCTCAAAACAATAACATTGTATAGGGAGTTCAAATTTTGAAATAGTCACATTAGATTTGTTGACAAAAACTACAACATTTCCCTGGAGCACATTCTGTACTGAAGAATCAAAATATAATCTTATATATATCCATATTCTCTGTTTCACTCTCAAGCTTGCACTAGAAATTCCAAAATACAGTCCATAATAAGATAATGGTATTTAAAAAGAGAGAATAGGGCAAATATAAATTTTATAAATGTTTTTATTTTAGAAAAATGAACCAATACCTCTCGGTTATCAGTGACCTTGAGTACCAACTTGCCATCACAGTGCCTGTACTTCATTGCATACCGTGTCTGCTCCAAATACAATTCAATAAATTTCATTTATACTAGAAGTGGTAAATAGAACAAGGACAAGCTGAATAACTTGGATAATCGTGAAACTATATTATAAAAGTACAATTTGGCATTGCACAAAACTGAACCAAAAAAGGGAGCAAAGGTTAGCAATTGTAGATTTTTATAAGCATGCATCAAATGTTACATAGTATCGTAATTGGTTGGAAGCTTAACAAGTTACTGCTATATTATGAAATAAAAAAAAGTAGCAGGAAATTACAGAATCAGGATCTGCACGGAACAACTCAATGGATCTCTCCACAAACTTGTCCCACTCAGTTATATAAACCATTGCACCAGACATAGACTTCAGGAAGGAGGCGGGAATCTGAATTGAGAGATTTCAATAATTTTCTGTCCGTTGTCAAGTTTTAGCCAATTGAGTTCAGGATCACCTGCATATCAACAGGAAATAAATGAAATTACAAAACCTATATCACTAAATTGATAATAATTGTATATGTATAATGAATGAGAAATCAGAAACTTACAACATGCAGCTGATTTTCATTACGTTGATAATGTTGACAAATAAACATTCATACGCATAATCTCAAACAACACATACGCCAATAAAAAATGAAAAATTGATAGAAAAATTGCTAATAATCAACAAATTAAATTTGAAGTGAAGAAATGTCTCATTCTTGCCAATCCTCAGTTCGAAAAGGTACATTTTGGTCATTGTAGATAACTATACACAATCACTGATAGAACTCAAATTCTAAAATTATTTGCTTTCACCTCAGTTCCTTGTCAGCACAGAGCTCTAAAATAAATCAATTTCAAATCTCAACAACAAACGAAATTAAAAATTTGTGATGTTTAAAGAAGCAATCAACTCTTGTTCATATGTCTGATTTCCTGTATGGATATGGTTCAGTGATCAGAATCCCCCTGTAAATACACCTCAGGTCCATTTTGGTCATTGTAGATGACTATACACAGTCACAGATAGAACTCAGATTCTAAAATCATTTGCTTTCAGATCAGTTCCTTATCTGCACACAACTCTAACATAAACCAATTTCAAATATCAAAAATAAACAATTAAAAATTTGTGATGATTAAAGAAGCAATCAACTCTTGTTCATATGTCTGATTTCCTGTACGGATATGCTTCAGGGACCAGAATCCCCCTGTAAATCAACCTCAGGATCTCCACAGGTGTGGTTCCAACCTCTAAACAAGACTTCCTTTACACTTTTCTGACCAACCAATGAACCAATCAATACATACTACCCATTTGGTACCCTCTTCCCAATTGTTGATTGTATGGAAAATTGATGTGGGGGACTAGAAATTCAACGTTCTAGAATATCACGTGTGACAGCCTAAATATTGTAGATTCCATCTGAACTCATTCAATTACACTTTAACATGCTAGTAATAGCTGGAAAAGAAAGAAAGAGAGCTAATAATAGCAACAAATACATGATTGATAGGATGTGATATGACATAATGCTTTTACCAAATGCTCCTTTTCATACTCATAGTTAGTTCAAGTACTGCACTATTAGTACAAGCTCGAGAACAATATGACCAACCCTCACATACTCTAACACCAGTCAAGTGACTGCTTAATATAATGAGAAAAACATAAGAAAAGCAAGGCAAGGAAGTAACTGATAAAGCAAAAACGAGAAGACCTGTGCTCCTATGTTAACTCAATTAACTACTTCTCAACAATTTTGAACGTTTGATAAAATGAAAGGATGAAATCAAAGCATCAACCACCAAAATGGTATCTAATAAATTCTACAAAACACTATGAAGGAGAGTTACAAATGAACTAATAATCTGCTCAATATGCAAGCTTTTCAGGAATCAGGTGACATTGTTTCACACTAACTAAAACAAAAACACAGACTGACCACAACAGAAGAAATAGCAAAAAAATTGTCATGATTACCAAGCCAATAACATTACATTATACGTGGGACCCAATATATTGATGTCAAATATTTATACACAATTTATCCAATACTTCTCACTCCAACACCTATGATCCTACTCAATGTCACAAAACTGCCTTCTACACCTCAATAGATCAACATTAGTATTTGTCTAAAAGAACATGATACTCCAAATCTAATAGCACATCTTCAAAAAGTATTGTGATTATCCACTAATTCCCAAGCGGTGAAATTCTTAAAATCATTACAAAATTAAAATGCTCACAAAATAATATATACTCAAACATAACCAATTGCCAAGCAAACTAACATCTAATAGTTCGTATCATAGTAGTCAATAGTGACCACTATCGCGGTGGAGCAAAACAGAGCAGTAGGGCGCCGCTAAGGAGATCAAGTCGCGTCACGTTTCAAAGGAGCAGCCATCGCACCGCAAATCGCAGCCACTATTCCATTCACGCTGAAATTCCAAATTTGCCCCTCTATTTCTAAATGTTGGCATCTTTTAAGGGGGGCAATCTAGGGATTTCACCCCCTCTTAGTTTCTAATATCTTCTCCCTCCCTCCCTCCCTCGCAAGCCCTAAGCCCTATCATTCTCATCTCTCAGTTCTCCTTCATTCTATTTTTTTCATCTTCGTTCTCTACGATTCCACCACTTCTAGTCCTTCCTCTTCGGCAAGGCTTCTAACGTGACAAAGATGTTCTCAGGTCATCTTTTTCATCGCCAATGAAACTTCTGATGTGACCCAAACTGTTCAGTCATCTTCTTCAAGTCCAACGAATCTTCCAACATCACTCAAACATTTTCCAATCATCTTCTACATCTCCGGCGAACTTTCCAGCAAACCTACACATTTTCTAGTGACTAAATGTTCTTTTCTATTTTCATTCTCTATTTTGATTCTCCTGCTCCAATGAACCTGCTTTATTTTCCATCTCTATTTTTTTTCCTTCTCTGCATCAATGTTATCAATGGTGGATGATGGATGGTGGCAGAAACCTCAAAAATTGTCATAAAGTTATGGCAGCCGCCATGACAGGTTATGACAAATTTATGGCGGATATAATAAAATATATAAAAAATACTATAGGTCACAAGAAATGATAGAAAAGAATTAAATCAAAATATATGTAGCATAACCCACAATCCAAAACATAATTCAATATAAAATATACAGTTATCAAATGTCAAGTAACAATAAAAACAAAGATTATCGATTTAGTTCTCTTCTTCAACTCCAATATAATCATCTTCTTTCTCATCCACTAAGGCATATCCCTCCTCTTTTTCTACCTCAGATTGTGGAAGATTAATTTCTAATTCATCTTCTGTTTCTTCCGACATCTCTTCATCTTCTAATTCTTCATCACCATCTTCAATTATCATTTTCTCTTTTCCTTTTGCTGTTGACCATGTCTTGATCTTAGAAACTTTTGCAGCTTTGATAGTAACACCACTTGATAGACACTTTTTTTCTTAGAATGATGCCTAGTATATATTGTAGGCTCTCCAATTCTAGAAGCTTCATAAACAGTTGCCCAATTTAAAGTGTTATCACCATAAAAAACTAAGTCATTTCCAGCATCTTCATCATAAGCATCATCAACCATCTCTCCAACCAACCACTCATTACACTCATCAATGTCATTGAGTGTAATTGGATCAATTACATCTTTAAGATTGTAACGTTCTTTGAATTGTTAATTATATTTCACGTAAACCAAGTCATGTAATTTTTTGTGATCAAGCCTATTCATCTTCTTTGAATGAATCTGCAACGTAAGTGTAATTAAAAAAATATTAATTAGTTTCTTTTTAATTTCTAAAAAAAAGTAGTAGGCTTGAGAGATGAGAAATTACTTGCTCAAAAACACTCTAATTGCATTCACATCTAGATGCACTACATGTCAAGTTCAAAATTTTGATAGCTAATTGTTACAAATGTGGAGCTAAATGTCCATACATTCTCCACCATTGAGCTAAAAAATAAAAAATGAATTATAGCTTTAAAGATTAATTATAACCTTAAAATTAAAATGTTGAAGTCTTTGATGACAAGGAACAATGTTTTTTCTTTGTGATTTTGCAAAGTCGGACCCAAAGGGACCACCATCACTCTTATAAATTGGTAATTCAAGTAGTATACTTTGTTGCACATCCTAACTTGGCACCAATCTCTTGATACAATCATACAACCCATTTGTAATTTTCAAATCAAATTCTATTTGAGGGTTGTCATAATAGAAATCCGAGTTTAAAATGTCACCAGCTACATGCAATGAATAATGAAGCTGACAAGTCCATCTATTATCAATAATTGCAAACACATCTTTGTATTTGCTCTCATTATTTTTGAATGACTTCATAATAGTTTTTTTACCTTTCTCCATTGCTTCATAAATATATCTCATGACTGGTCGTCTTTTCCCATCAACCAAACTTTAACACCCATACAAGAGGAGTCATGATTTTCAAAGTATATACCACATTATTCCAAAATATAAAATTTAATAGAATTTTTGTTGCTTGCTTCCTTTTAGGTTCCTTTGACAACTTGTTTTTACACCACTCGTCAGAAGTAAATATCTTTCTAAGATTTGTTTTTTCTTGATGAAGCCTTTCTAATGATAGAAAAGAAGTTGCAAATCTAGTACCTACATGTCTCACCAATTCCCTCTTGTTTGTAAAATTTCTCAACAAACTCAAGGTACTTGAATGATGGTAGATAAAGCCAAAAATAGATATTCCCCTTTGAATTGTCTTCTTTATCAAGGGAAGCTTTCCAATATCTTCAAGCATAAGATCTATGCAATAAGCTGCACAAGCAGTCCAATAAAGATGATGTCTTTTGCTTCCAATATCTTACTAGCCAAGATATAATTGCTTCCATTATCCGTTATCATTTGCACAACTTTATCTTCTCCAATCTCCTCCACAAGAGCATCCAGCATCTCAAATAATTTTTCACCGGCCTTCACAAAATTTGATCCATCAATGGACCTCATAAACATAGTCCCAGTAGGAGAGTTGACCAAGAAATTAAACAAACATCTTTGCTTTTGATCTGTCCATACATCTAACATGATAGAACAATCATGTTTGCTCCATTACTCCTTATGATCTTTCATCAAAGAATCAGTATATTCTAACTCTTTCCTAAGAAGTGGAATTCGAATATCATGATAACTTGAAGCTAATAAATTAGGACCAAAGGCACTAACAGCTATGAACATTTCTTGAAAGCTCTTCATTTTAACAAGCTTAAAGGAAAGCCCAGCTTGATACCAAAATCGAGCTATGTATTGATGGACCCTGTCTTGGCTTCTTGTCACATCATTGTCTTATATTTGTTTGTCTCAATTTTCCCTTTTTTCTTTTCTCAATGACACTTTCTGGCTTTCTACAAAACAAGTCCATTGGCCCTTTTTGATTCCCCATGGCAACACTACATGTTTGGGTATCCTCTTCATCCTCATTTTCATCATAGCTTATACCTTCAAAGCTTCTTACATTTGGCATCTCAAAGTTGTTTCGACTCTATTTTTCCTTTTGATATGTCTCAATCTCTTTTCTAACTTCTTCTGAACACTTGGAACAAGTTTTCACGTTACCCTTCTTTCTAATCAAATGTTGTTTCACTCTAGTGATTCCAACACTCATGACTTCTCCACAAAAGTTACATACAATATTATTTGTATCTCTATCTTTCAGCGAATGAGCATATTTCCATCCCTGGTCAGAACAATTAGAAGCTCTTAAATAATTTGACGAAAATTCTTGTTGAGTCATGTTAAGGGAAGCTGAAATAAAGAGATTCTTTTTCAGGAAAAACAGAGAAAAAACAAAGATGTGGGTGAGGTAAAAATTAAAAGATGGAAAGGATAAAACAGAAATGAGGGAAATAAAGAAAAAATTGAGAGAAGGAAAAATTAAAAAAATGGCTATGGGAAAAAATAGAGTCGCTGGAGATGGAGGTGCAGTTGCCGAAAATGAAGGGAGACAAAACTACACCAGAACAAAAACCCAAGCAGTCTAGCAGAATAGAAGAGAAAGAGATCTCAGTAGAGGGAGAGATCTCAGCAGAGAGCAGAGAGAGAGAGATTGCAGAGAGAGAGAGAGATCGCGGGGAGAAGAGAGGAAAAAACTTTAGGGTTGAGTTGTCTGGACCGGGTCCGGTTGCTAGCCCAAACTTGCCAAACAAACCCATTTTTGTACCAAAAACGCCATTCCGCCGTTTCCACCATGCACTTAACGGCCGTCATGGCGCCACCACACCACGCCATACCTATAAGGGGGTCCTTCAAAACTGCCACGCCATTCCGTCATGACGCCGCCATAACAATTTTTTAACAACACTGCTCTGCATATATATTAGTGTAGCTTAATTTATATTAGGTATATATAAAATGCCTAAAATAGCAGTCACCGTGCTATCCCGCTATAGTGTTTTTTGGGTTGGTCACTCCGCACATCTACCGGGATTGACTATTATGGTTCGTGTTAAAGACTAATGATAAAGAAATACATTCAAAGAACATTAAAGGCCTGTTTGTATGCTAACTGCAACTCCGTTTTGGTAATACATGTAAACTCCATGTCAATTATTATGCAAACAGGTACTAAATTGTTCGTTACACAAGAAAAAATTCAGCAAACTCAGAATGCAGCAATAATATATGAAATACAGCTATTCTCCACAAAAACAACAACACTAGCCAGAAATAATAATAACAATTCATTCTTAGGTTAGTAGAACAGAATAGGGCAGCTGTGCATACAGTTCTAATGTGATAGCAGAAATTGTTCTATTCTTGTATATTCTGAGGGGCAGGGAGGTGTTCCAAGAATCTTTTAGGATTTCAGCTCATGAAGTTTTAGGTCTTGATAGCTCCTCTGAGATAATTCCTTTCACCTTTATTTTATTTATTTTATTCACTTCACTTAAGTCTTTAGCAGTTTTAACTTTAAAATCAACTCTTCTTCTTTTCTGCAACCTTTTTTTTTTTTTTCCTTAAAAAGCTATTAATATGTAGCTATAATAGCCCATTCCTTAAAATTAACGACGTTGTCATAGAAATGTAGTATACCATATCCGTCATCCATTATTTATTTTATTACCCATAAGATAAGATATTGTTGACTACGGAACCATGAGTCCATATTTTACAAGCCCTATTGCCTCTTATAATTTCTACATAGTCTAAACTCGGGTTGAATCCAACAACTCTATAACTGTTCAACTATTGATTTAGGTCTATCAAAGTAAAATATCTAAGAATGCAAATAACAATGTGAGTTCACCTATTGTTAAGAGAGGGAACTGCCCCAGAGCAGTGAATTTAAGCAGCAGCAGGCCCTTCAGGGATTGCTTGATCCCAGTATCCAAACCCACCCTACCACTTTGTCTGCAATCTAGCCTACAATCCCCATTCCCACACTAAGACTTAGACCTCCCTTCTTTGAACTTTTGGTTTCTCACAACTATACTTCATAAGAAACAATTCTACTTGACACACAAATTGCACTTGTAACACAGAGAGAGGTAATTAAATAAACAATAAAACTAAACCAATTCGATTGCAAAGAGAAAGTACCCAAAAAAGTAAGAACCTAGCACTACGAATTACATTACAGCATGTAATGAAGTCCTTATCACATGACCACCAAAACCCACATGAAATAAACCTTCTAACATCAACACCATTCATTCAGCAATGATTAGCAATACCCATCTACGAATCAAATGAAATGATCCATGACCAAAAACAAAAGTTAGCTGTTTGGGTCAATTTTGGTCGAGTGGAGAGAACAAGGAGAATCGATTGAGTGCATACCTACACCGCCAGACTCTACAACCTCTTGGGTGGGAGCAATTTGCGTGTTCTTCAATTCAATCCCAAAGGGTCAGGAGCCAAAATGAGGTGTTAATATGGGTCAGATTTGTTAAAACTCAAAAAAAGAAAGGTTTGTACCGTGTTACCCAAAAAATTGAACCGATAAAAACTAAGCAATATATTATTATATATAATTTATTATTAAATAAATTTATCATTTAAATATATATATCTACATATTATTAATTAAAAAAATTAGATAATATCCTAAAAATTTTAAAAGGCACTACAGAATTCACTTAAAAAAACAAGCTAACACTTAAAGAAGTCAAAACTAAACTTTATTAAGTAGTATAAGCAATAAAGTTCCGTAAAATTGAAAAATATACTTTTTTTTCGCTGTGAATAAGAGCATATAATAATGCTTTAAAAATATATATATCTTGGTTGATAAAATAGTTTTAAAAATGTTTTTTTTTAAATTAAAACTTTAAAACACTTAAAAAATATTTTAGATATTAGTATAAAGTAAATTTTTATATTAGTTTCTAAAATTATAAGTGTTAGATAAATTAGTCTCAAAAATTTTAAAGAAATATGTTAATTCATAACTCTGTACACTTTAGTCTAATTAACAATTTTGTTATAATAATTAATGCTATTTATTTTAAATATTTTAATTATAAATATAAATAAAGCTGACAACTACATCAATCATTTTACTATTTAATTCAAATCTATTCCATGTAAAACTCTATTTAAATTAACAATAAAGTGGAAAGACATAGAATATAAAAAATCTAATAAAATTATAATGAATATTTTTGATATTTTTATTTCAAAGAAACACATACAAACACAACACAAAAATATAGAAACAATCAATAAACAAAAGTAATTGAGATTGAATTCACTTTCATTCTTTTCTCTTATAGTGTAATTTATCTCATTTATTTCATTTTTTATACAATGAAGATTAAATTCTCTAATGTTGAGTAACTCTAATTCTTTGGACGAAAACTCTTTATGCAATTAACTAAAACTTTTTAATTTTTTTGGCTAACCTGATTAACAGATTCGTTATAGTTCAAAAACTCATAAAAAATCTCATAATCATTTAGTTGATTCCTCAACATATCAACAACTATGGCAAATTTCTCAAAAAAATAAATTTTGTAATTGTGAAATCAAGTTTAGAATCATTTTAATGTTAGTCAAACCAAAGAATGTATTATGAGTAAAGAAACTCACTCAATTGCACCAAAAGAAAGTAAATAAGAATAGAAATTTATTAATAATATAAGAGAATTAAACATAAGTTCATCTCATCCTTACTTAACGGGTGTACATTTCTTAATGAGAACGGAAGCATCTAAGATCTCACACTCATTTTTTGACGTATACTCTTAATCATACTTTTGCTAAAAGAAACTAAATTAGTAAATGTTGTATCTGTGTTACTACAGCTAATCAGCAATTATTTATATGAGGAAGACTTCGAGGGATCACAGGGACAATAATTGATTGAGATAAGGAGTCAAAGAATGATAAGAATGTTGAGAGAATATGATCACAATATATGGAAAATATTGTATGTACACGAGTGATGTGGTTGATATGTTTATTGTATGAATTAGTTTGTATATTATATTAAACACGTGTGTATTAAATTTATTAAGTTGATTATTGTCTCGATTCAATGGTCTGGAGAAAAACTCATCTTTACTAATATTTTCAAGGAACAAGGATAATGGACCCTCAAGACCTATTAGGTTGTCAAAATTGCTAATTAGTAGTATATTTAGAGAGTGACAGTGGCTCTACCATTGTAAATTTGTTGTAAACAATAATGATGAATCTAGTAATATATTTACTCTAAAAATGACAATAGAGTATAATATTCCTTTTGGTTACTCTATTAGCGGTAGGATCAACCACACTCATTATTTGTACATATACAGAGGTTTGGTCCAAATGTCCGATGCAATGAATTATGTATATACTTTCTTAGATCATGACCACTATAGAAGACCAAACCGATTTACCTTAAACAGGTGACTAGTACTGAAGTTATGACCAACACAAAAGATCTTGGAGAGGATGAAGACCTGACTCCGAAGGAGCTAGTTGAGATAGAGGACTGACATAGTGATGACGACTAGGGACATAGTCTCAGTATTTTGGTGTGGGAGTGATCTACTCATTAAGATTTAGTATATTTTGATTTTGTAAATTAAGTCCTAATATATTTTGAATCAATCTTTGTATATATGAACTTCTATATTTAAATGGTAATACGTACACATGTTTTGCTATTATTTTTTATGTAAATTTATTTAGCAAGTCATGATTTATCTTTTATCACTTTACGTATATTTTGTATTTTTGTGAATTGAATAATGAAAGAAAGTTTTAAATTTTGTTAAGTTCTTATATTATGAATACAAAGAAATTCAATTTATTTTCTGTTTTTCATATAACTTCTTTCTTAAACTTCATAAAGAAATTAAGGACGTTACACTTTTTAATTTTAATTTTTAAAATTGACATGCAAATAACTTTTGAAATTTAGTTTTTAAAAGATATAAAATCACTCTAAAAATTCACTTTTGAAATTGATTTTCATAAAGTATTAAACATTTTCAAAAATTAAATTATAAAAAAAAAGTAAAAAAATGATATAAATAGAAAACTTAGTAGTACGAAAAGTAATATTACTTTTAGAGACAACATTTGAACTGTTTATGAAACATATGTCGTGTTAGCTTTCACTGTTGAGTTACCACTCTAATGACTAAAATATAATGGTACTTGTTATATTACATGTAAATTTGAGAAGGTATTATATATTCTTTTTAAATTAATAGTTATAATTTTTCTAGTAAATTTGAGGTGTTATAATTTTTTATGTTAATATAAAATTAATAATGATAATTATTAAACTTGTAAAAGAAATATAGAATATCTTTTTAATTTATAAGGTACCGCATAAATTACCAAAAATAATCTCAAACTCTAACTAAAATAGGTTCAAACCAATTCGGACCTAATATGCATTCTGCTGGCCCAATTCTTTTATTCTTTTGGACCCAACAGCCTTGCATCGTACTGGGCTCATCAACAGCCGAGAACCATACTCAGCATCCAATGCACTCAGCTTTTCTTTTGGTTAGTTTTCTAAATGGGCTATCCAAATCGAAATTGGCCCAGCAACTGACGAGCTCATTTACCATGCTCAGAAACGCTTTGGGTTGGAAACTGCTAATCCCGCGACCAAGGAAAGGGATAAATCATAAAGCTTCATTGTTTGATGTGATCAAAGGTTGTTTTGCCTCTGTCTCCTTGGTGGATGTTATTGCATTCAAAGGGGATGAAAGTTGAGATGCGTGGGTATACATACGTGCGTTGAAAGAAACGAATGCAGAGGGTGAAAAAGAAAATTTTCGAGTACCAGAATCTTGTCTAAAGCCATTTACCTTTTATTTAAGATCCAAACAGTTTTGCAAATAATTTTTCAATTTCCCAAGTCTGGATTCTTTCAAAATGATTAAAAAACAATGGAAATAAAGTTGAAACAATCACTTACTAAGTTATGAAAATGTAAGAACTATCTCCTCAGTTTTTTCTCATCATCCTAGGCTGCATGGTCTTTTGATGAAGTTGAAAAAAAGAAATCACTTCAAGGACAATTTCAATGGTTGTCCTTGGGAATGTCAAGATCCTTAAATACTGGACTGTCAACTCCAACACCCATGGCGTTTAATCCATTGTCAACGTATATAACAGCGCCTGTAATAGCCGACGCCAAGGGTGATGCCAAGAATGCAGCAGTGTTCCCCACTTCCTCTGTTACAACAACTCAAAAGTTTAAGTGCCTGTTTGGTTCAACTTATTTTCATTAATTAATTGCTTACAAAACATGCTATAATTAACCAAAAAGGTGGAAATCTCAAGGGAAACATTACCTGCATGTAGTTCTTTCTGCAATGGTGCATTGGTAAATGAATAATCAATCATCATATCAATGAAACCAATTGCTTTTGCCGCACGGCTTCCCAGTGGACCTAACCATTTCAAACAATTTTGGTCAACTTGTACTAAATTCATTGACATGCAATAGTTGTGTAGTATATGAGAAAAATAGGTGTTTAGACAAATAAATAATAAAATGTATCTCGCAATTCTGGGACAATTTTTTTCTCAATGCTCCATCAACCAAGAATTGGGTCTACTTTCAGTATTGTGTCAATTATGTGGTTCTGATATATTATAACAATGCATTCTCCCTTACATGAATCAATCACAACTTTGGCGGGAGTTATTCATCAACAAAAGCTAGTTGATAATATAATAACAACTGTCAACCAAAACATAAACTGATAAAAGCTTTTACATTACAACACTTCCTTCTTTGCTATATTAACTGAACTCCATTTGGCATCGCATGCTAAAGATCACGAATGTATATACCATTAAACATTTAAAAGGACACATACAAAATCGTTAACAAATGAAGTTATGAAAAGCTTTCAATACCTGCAGATATAGTATTAACTCTGACTCTTTTCTTTCTACCAGCTTCAAAAGCAAGCACCTGAAAAAGCAGAAATCTTTAAAGATCTATGTGCATAATATAGAAATTTGTAAAAAAAAAAAAAAAAAAAAAAAAAAAAAAAAAAAAAAAAAAAGAAAGAAAAAAGTTAAACTCACTCTTGTATCACTTTCCAAAGCAGCTTTTGCAGAACTCATACCGCCACCATATCTGCACATCAGGCATTTCAAATCTTTGTCAATTAAAAATGTTATCAATAAACAAGTATATGGGTCTCCAAAGCATCTCCAACGCACCCTGGAATGATCCTCTCTGAAGCTATGTATGTAAGAGAGAGTGCAGATCCATCTATAACAAAAACAGAAGGGTGACTGAGAACAGTAAACCAAAGTTTGAAGCAATAAAATGCTGACCCTCTTAGCTAATGAACATGCCTGGGTTCATGATTGGGAGAAAGTGTTTGAGTAAAGAAATATAAGAGTAACTAGATGCAGACAAGGCAGCAAGATATCCTTTTCGAGATGTCTCAGACAATGGTTTGCTGACCTGAAATAGAGTTGAATGCAGTTAAAGCTATAACACATGAGGAAACAAGAAACTTCATTATTGCAATCACTATACCTCTGGTCCATTAGCAAGTGAGTGCACAAGTATATCGATAGTGCCAAAATCTTTCTTGACAGATTCAGCAACTTCCTACAAGGTAAAACAAATCACAGTAGATTAAGTACAGCTAGTCTTATTTAAACACAGACTGAGACAAATCACAAAGTAAATGCAGATCAACAAACCATCCTATGTTTTAACCAACCATTTCTAGAATCTCCATTATGAAAAATTAATAAAGAAAAAATTAGAATGAAATCAAGTAATCAACCAATCGTATGAAATAATCAGATGGAAATGAAGCTTTCAGCTTCAGCTTGGTCAGAGAAAAGTGAAACCAAAAAGAAGACTCTTCATCTTGTAATTACATCGTGGAAGGAATTATAAGACAATGATTAAATTACTCGTGTATGTTATTGAATAAATTAGAAAAGCTTCTAGTCAACAACCCTGATAAACTTTAGCATTGACATTGACAGGGTCCTTACTTGCACATTTCCAGGCAAGGAGAGGAAGAAAGACAATAGAAAAGATCTTTTTATTTAAATGCATTACCAAGAGTATATTGTATCTTTACTGACTTACAAGTTTCTTGCCTCCATGATTTTTTCGAATATGTGAATAGATTGTATGACCTTAGACTATTTTCGGTCTCCATTCTTCACTAAAGAATAGGTTCAATATTTTTAAAAAAAAAGGCTTAATTACAATTTCAGTATCCAAATTTATGATAAGTTTTTTATTCCCAAAACTGCATCTGTTTTCAACATTCAATTGGCACCAATGTTGTCCATTACCAGCCAGCAGATTGATCTTCACGTGATAAAATCATCTGATGTACAGTTCAAATGTATTTTGAACTGAATGAAAAGAATGGAATATTCCCCCCAATTAAACATCCATTACCTGGTACAAGTCCTGCTTATATAGATTTTTGAGATATGCATTTATAATAATGGTTTTTAGCAACTTATGAAGTATGTTTGGAATAACTTTGATCAACTTAGCTTAAAAGCTTACTTAGCTGATGATAATCATTAGCTCGAAAAAGAAAAATGATAAAGAAAAGAAGCTTATATCCTGTCAGCTGCTCTCATAAGCACATCATAACAGGAGAAAAATTTCCCATCAACATTTATGGCACAAAATAACCTGCTATTAGCTGAAACATGAAAACACTCTTTATACAAGTAGATAAAACTGATGATATATTCAAAGTTAAAAGATAAATTTAACTAAAAAGCTCTTTTGGGACAAAACTGCCACTTGTTTCACAATGAAGAGATTAAACGATGACTGTAACCGTAAAGAAATATAGATAACAGAATGATTAATCTATACCTGTACTGTCCAATTAGAGGCTCCAGCATAGCGCTTGTTAGATTTTACCTATACAATTTTCACAAAAAATAGAAGATGAAATGTTTTCTGAATGGACTTTGTGTTTTTTTATAACAAATATGTGCTTCTCTCTTACATCTTCTGGGACGTCTTCAAGATTGTCATAAACAGCATCCAATGGATACACTTTACTAATCTCCATTAATGAACCATCTTGTAATCTGAAAAATGAACAGTTCCTTGTAAGCAAAGTACATGAGTTTCGCATTTACATACAAATAAAATTAATAGAAGCATTTAAAAGTTTTACATGCGTGACTCGTCAAATTTTCCACGTCGTAGACTGGATTCAAATATATTTAAAGCCTGCATGAAAATCTTCAAAATTAGCACCCGACCACTTGTATATTTCACAAGGATAGCAAGATTTCAGGTAAAAATAAACAATGCACAAATAAAACTGGAATCTGTAATATTTACTTACAGGTACCCATGTACCAACAAGAATTTCAGCTCCTGCCGCTGCAAGAGATTTTGCTATTGCCCAGCCATATCCATTGTCATCAGCCACACCAGCAATGAAAGCCCTTTTACCTGCACATTGCATTACATTCAGGGGAATGCCAAAAATCAAGGATAACAAATGAGCGTGGGGTTCCATTAAAGTGATGCCACAACAAACGAAAGATATCACAAAAGGACAGTAAAAGAAAGTAGGTCCACTTGGAAATAACAATTTATGATAAAAAGCAAATACTTAAAGACATACTATCTTTGTGTTGTTATATCATACAGAGGTCGGACATGCAAAGGCTCCTTTCAACAGTTTATAGATAGTCTAACAAGCAATTTTTCTTACCCTTTATCTTGTCTAGTAAACCAACTTTCAGCAAAGTGGTTTTGGAATGAGTAAACTTTTGAATGGGGAAAAGAGGCTATGTAGCCACAACACTACTTCCTTTTGACTTTATTTCAGAAAACCATGGGAAAGGTCGTCAAGGGCATATATTCTTCACATCATAATGTAGCAATAGTAATTACTAAATAGATTAAAATGTTTAGACATCCTACATACAAATATGTAAATGAAACCAGAATATATGTGATGAAGGATTCATGGAAAAAGAAGTGAAACCTTTCAAATCAATCGGCAATCCAGCAACTTGATTGTTTGAACTAGACTCAGACATAGCCTTTGTTATGATTGTGTCATATTTTATGGCACATGATGTCATTTTCACACCTTGCTGGAAGGGTTGTGCTGACGCAACATGACAAACACTTGTGAGCTTATCACATGAGCCAACCTTAAACCTTCCTCCAAGAATTGCAGGTCCTACATTTGCAAACCTCTGTGATGAACGAATCTTGGGTCTTGACATCAATATTGGCAAGTTAGAAGCTGTTGTTGCCATCTTGAATCAATGAAAAATATGGCAGAGCACCTAGACCTGCACATACAATTAACATTAGGACCAGTACATGATAGTATGTTGAGAAATGATTAGTTACTTTTTCATTTGCCCAGACCTTGTACTTAAATAACTTATGATAACAAATAACGCCAGATACCAAATAAGGACAGCCTGATAACAAATGAAAAAAAGAGGGCAGGTTGAAAAAGAAATTCAGAAATTGACTCGGTTTCAATGGTCATCAATTGAAACTTTACCTGCTTATCCCATACAATATTTGATTCAAGACTTGGCTCCAACTTTTTGCCAGAGCTATTTTAACTAAAATTATCGCAAAATAAATATTGGACCTTATCACTTTGCTTAATAATGCATTCAACTTCAATTGATTCACTAGTCAATGTTTAATAATGTTAGTTACAGATATATTTGGTTACTTATAATATTTACTTCAAAAGAAAACAAATCGAAAACTTTAAACCAATTAAAAGAATCAAAGATAAAAAAGCCAATGGTTCTACAAATGGCCAGTCATGATCAAATTATTAAAAGAATTCCAACCACCTTCTTGATCAAATGATTCTAAAAGTGGTCAAGCCTAGATAAAAATATTTTAAAAAAATTAGTCAAGCCTTTGATTGCGTTATTCCCAGATTCCAGAAGCCTTATTTTTATCATACTAAGCCATAAATAAACAAGGAAAACATGAAAACACAGCCTCAGTCTAATTACTAGCTCCCAATAAATCTCCACCGTTGAGCCACCCATTTGTTAAAATCTTCCAACTTTCACTTGATAAAGCCGTTACTTTGTCAAATACAAATTGCAGCAGAAAACCAATGATTGGCCAGTCCAAAAAAAAGTGCGAAAAGCAAACACATATCCCTTGATCGAACATAAACATAGCATTACTCTTCATGCAGATGATTAAATCTCTGTTTTTCAATAGAACCCGCATTTACATGATTACACTACACCCACCTTGCATTGTAGAAACCAAACAACAAGAACTAGAGCATGATCAGAGAAAAGGGGTGTTACCTTTTGCCAACAAAAGTGATCAATGTGAGAGAGAAAGGAGTGAGTACCAAGAGGAAATGCAAAAAGCAAAAATGGGATTTCTTTGTTGGAATGGATTAGATAATGGGAAGAAAATGGAGCTGTAGAAGAAGCCTCGGAACTGAGTCGATGAAAACGATGTTGTTGTGTTCTTATAAGAAGTAGCTTAGAGTAGTTGGGGGGGACTTTGGAACTGTCGAATGGAAATGCAATGCAACAGCCAACAGGCCCTCAAAGTTTTTTTTTTTTCAGCCGAAGAATAACAAGGTTTTCTGCCGGTGTACTTGTGAACATAGTTTTTTAATTTAATATTTTAATTGTAATATATTTTTAATTATAATTTAATATATCATACAACTTCTTAATATATTAATATTATAACATGATTTTCTTCTAAAGTTTATAAAAGATTTTGAAATTTGTTACTTCATTCAAATTTTTAGTTATATTATGTCTATGTTTTATAACTTTTCATGCTTTATTTTAAATTTTTCATTAATTTTTTAACTTAGAAATATTTATAATTGGAAAAATAAAAATTTTAAATATTATATGTAAAAAATGAACAGATTATATAATTTATAAACAAGTAAAAGATAATTATAAATAATATATATATATATATATATATATTTTAAAAAAATTTATATTTAAGATTACTACATATGTGTGTGTGGACTAGAGAAATATATATATATATACTAGACAGAATTATAAGATTAAATTTGAACATGTATATGAAACACATGTAAAGTTATTAAAAGAAAATGAAATGAAGTAATTAAATTAAAATAGTTTTAAAAATATCATGTAACAACTTGGTAAAAATACTTTAGTTGTATGTATAAATAAGTAAAAAATAATTGTATTAAAATAGTATTTATTATATTAAAAATGTAATTATAATGCTTGCGATTTTTAAGCAACCAACAAAGTTTTTCATATAGACACAAAGTATATATAACTCCTAATAAGAGCTACTACACAAACACTAATTAAAGAATTAATAAATTACTTTTTCATTAAAAATTATAATTAGAATACATTTAAAATTTATGATAGAGATACATAACTTTTTGTTAGATAAAAAGTTTTCTAGATGCATATTTTAAAAACTCTGAAAGTATAGAGAAAGTTTGTAAAATAAAAAAAAATCAGTTTTTGAAAAATATAATGTCAATCATGTTAATTCTTGAATGATAAAAATTATGTTTAAGATTCATATTTTTTTTTTTCTGGTCATTCTTAGATGAGTAATTAAAGAGTTTTTAGAGACTAAATTCATAAGTTTCATTGCTAATAATAATTTTTTTCATATTTTTTTAACAAACTTTTTATTATTTATTAAGATTTATTTAAAATCATAAAATTATATAAATTTCATTCATAATTTATTTAGAAATTTTAAATATCAGTACAAAGCATGTTAAGAATGATATTAATAAAAAAAATGCATTCCTAACATTTCTTAGATTATTTAATATTTTTGTAAATATATATTTTCATCTTTAATTTAGATTTTTTAACATATATTTACTTTTTGTATTCCCATTTTTTTTTAACTATACCACTCATTATCTTTCAAAGATAAAATTTCAAAAATTAAATTCTAAAAGTCACTTGTAAAATTAAATGTGGAAAAAGTGATGAAAAAAATAAGCCTTTCTAACATAGTCTCAATCAGCTCCATGCAGGCCCATTAACGTTTGAAGTAAGTTAGGCGTAGCTCTCTTGCTTGAGCCCAAAAAAGGGATACGGTTCGGTTCACCACCCGCTATGGCCCAAAAAGAAAAATACAACGAACTTGATATGCTTATATTGATGAGATGAACAAGGATACAATTAATAGCTGAAGTTAGCAATATAATAATTGGATCTAAAAGCAAATATTTTACCCCAATAATAAAAATGAACATGTACTCATTGGTGATTATTGTCCTTACGAATGTATCAAGAACCAATCATATTTGTGAGGCAAGTAGATTTTTTTGGTATGAGTGGAACATAAGCTAGACTTGGTAGATTGTGTTCTCTCTCTCCGCTCAATTCAAAATCCAAATCAATCAAGCACAATAATGAAAAGAGTATTCACAATAATGAACATGTTCTGTTGCATATTTGCAGAACAACTTATATGGAAGGAATTCACTCTTTGCTTTCTTCTGCAGCCATGTCCGTTAGTATTCTGAGTATAATCGTTTCCTTTGAAATATAGAGTAGATCACTTTTTCTATTTTTATCTTTAAAATCGAATAAAATAAGATCAAATTGTAAATATACTAAACTATTTATGAAGAGGAAAATGAAATAAAATATTCAAAAATAATAAAATAATGTGAGAAATAGAGTAGAACATATCTCCGAGTGCTAAACTAATCATAAAAGGCTTATGAATTATTAGAATGATTGTGTACAATATTTACCATAAGAAATTTTATTGTGTACAATATGAAAGTATAAAATGTCCTTTCTTGATTGATACGATGGTGCAATGAGGCAAATGATAGCATACCTTCTAAGTTTATGGTGTTATTAATATGGGAGTAATTGATCAGTATGTTTACTAGTTGACATTTAAATGCGATTAAGTAAAGCATGGAACATTAATGAAATTTAAATGCTGACTTATGAAGACGACAATCCTTGTGTAAGTGACTCTTAAATAACGCATGATTTGTGAAGTGTAAGATAATTTTATAATGAGAGATGATGATGAATTTAATTATTTTACTAATGAATTGTTTTTATATTTAAATTACTTAAATAATATAAATATATAATATTTTAAATAAATAAAAAGACAATATTAGAAGAACAACAATTAATATTATTCTAAATATCTATATGAATAAATAAATAAAAATAATTTTTATCTTCATTTTATAGATAATAAAGAAAAAGATAAAATTAGTATTTTTTTATCTTCTAACTTTAAAATAAGTTTTGATTTAGAAAACACTTCAAATAAATATTTTATTATAAAAATGTAACTTGGTTAATTTCTTTGTTATATATATTATTTATGTACTATTCATCTTCTTTCTCATATATCCAATATGTATTATTTCTTACTTTGTTTTTTTTATCTTTTTCTCCTTCTCCTTCATCTTTCTTTTAGCATCTCTTTTCCCTCTTCAAATCTCACATAGTGAGAGATGATGTCACCACCATAAAAAGAAACAATGTTATTTTTGCTACTCCTAGAGGAAGTGTGACAAGTAGTATTTCTTTTCAATGTATTCTTTCCTATCTTGTTTTTTTTTCTCTTTCTCCTTCCCCTTCATCTTTCTTTTAGTATCCCTTTTCCCTCTTCAAATCTCACATAGTGAGAGATGATGCCATTGCCATCAAAAGAAACAATGTTGTTTTTGCTATTCTTAGAGAAAGTGTGACAAGCAATAATGAAGATCTCATAAGTAATTAAACCAAGTTCAGAAAAAAATATTTTGGCAACAAGTTAACAAAACATAGAGGAAAAGTTGTAAACGACGGGTTTTGGTGGTATTATTATTGGCAGTGGCAATAGTGGTAGTGACAATAGTGTCTCTCTCTGAGTAGTGATGATATCATCTCCATTATATAGGATTTTGAAGAAGAAAAATAAAGGAAGAGGAGGAAAAAGAAAGGAGATAAGAAAAGGGAGGAGAAAGTGGAAGAGAAAAAAGTGAGAGAAAATACAAATCAAATATATGAGAAAGAAGATGAATAGTACATATAAAAAGATAAAAGAATCTAAGTAACAATTGAAGCATTTTTAAAAATTAAAAGACTAATGTGAATCAAAATAAAGTTGGAGAAAAAAATTAAAAATTACTTTAAAATTAGAAAACAAAATAATAATTTTACAAATATAAATAAAGATTGTATATTTTTTACCAAAGTTTATGTAAACTCTAGATAATTATTTAACTATTATTTTTAGTAATGTTTAAAATTAAATTAAACAATTTTTAATTAGTTAAATTAATTTGAAAAAATATTGAATAAAAATTAATTACACAAAAATATAAAAAATAAGATTTTACACTACAATTTAGTTTAATTTTTCATTCATACTTATTTGAATAAAACAAGCCAAATTGATCTACAACGATAATATATTGATATTATTTTTTCTATAATATTTTTATATAAATTACTTTTTTCTCCTTTAAAGTTTAAATACTATTGTAGTTTTTGTATAAAACTTGTATTTTTTATTTGGTCCCTATATAAAAAAGGAGTTTATAAATAAGTTTTTAATTGAAAAAAATTGAAATAGTATCTAACATTAATTATAATGTTGTTATCTTATATTTAAATATTTATAATAAAGATTTTATTATAATACAAATATACGTTAATGATATTGTTATTAATACTACTAATAATTATGTATGTAAAGAATTCTAAAAATTGATGTAGAGTTAATTCAAGATAAGTATAAAGTATAAAGGGAGAGTTGGAATTCTTTCTTTCTTTCAAATTAAACAATACAAATGAATGAAACATTCATCAAGAAAAATATATCAAGAAGTCTCTAAAAAAATTCAAAATGGAAAAATCAAACTATCCATCCATTAATCATCATAAGCAAAGACAAATATAGTAAATTTGTAAATCAAAAGATTTATATAGGATTGGATCTTTGTTATATTTAATAACTAGTAGATTATGTTTAATGTCTAGTTATGTGCTAGATATTAATCTGACTCCAAATCTAAAACTTGTAAATATAATATTCAGATATCTTGTTAATATACTAACTATCATGTCATATAAACATATAAGCAATTTTAGATTAATAGGATATTATGGAACTATAAAAAAAAAAAAAAGAGAGAGAGAGAGGATATTATAGTGTTGACTTCACTATAGACAAAGTACAAAGAAAAAGCACTAGTAGAAGATATTAATTTATTGAATTAAAATTCAATAACTTTCTCATTTGTAGAAGTAGAACCCATCTCTACTATGGGAAGTTGTTTTCAGTTGCTTTGGGTAATGTATCTAAGAATCCTATTTGATATTCAAGGTTAAGCATATAAAAATGAAGTATCATTTTATTAGATATTATGTTTAGAAAGGGTATTTGATTATTCAAATCATCAATATTGATCATTAGTTGGTTAATATGTTTACTAAACCATCAGCTAAAGATGTGTTTACATTCATAAGGA